CAGGAATTAATAATTGTAGTTCAAATCCAATTATACTGTACATTCAGGACAATGCAAACCTTTAAATCATTGTCAATGCACCCATCATTTTCTGAATGTTCAAAACTAAAATGGGTAAAATTAATTAAAGTAAAAAACTTCATTAAATCAAAATGGCAAATTAGGTAACAAATTTAGAGGAAAATGTAATATTAACAGTGCTAACCATAGGACAAATTGTACATAAAGGAAGAATAAATTATATGATTACAAGGAAAGATGAACTTTTTTTCTTATGGTGACCCAATTGTACAACAACCTAAAATGGGTATGTCTGGTGGCAGTGTTTTTAAATTTTATTGTCTAGTATAAACCTGTTTGCATGAATATTTTAAAATGATTCCCCTTAAATTTGTTGATGTGTGCTATTTGCTATTTGGTGCTTTCTATTACTGTATAATGGTTTTCTATTGTTTTATGCTATATTGTATTGTACTTTAATTGTAGTTATCATTGAATATTGGCCTTTTATCATAAGACAGAGGACTTAACTTCTTTATGAATAATATATTTATGATTTTTCCTAGGGTGAATGGAAAAATGAATAGATGTAACATTAATGGAAATATGAATACAGCTATTATTGAATGCCAGCTGCTGCTCATTGTTGTTCCAGGTTTCCTGGACAAACTTGAAAAAGGTAAGTTTGGTCAAACTATAGTTGTTTCAATGTAGTATTCCAGACTATCATTTTAACCCAAAACCACTGAAGAAAACTGTAATCTGGATTATCGGTCCTAAATCAAAATAGGAGGAACCATGTGGGGATGGTCATCTCTTCTTGTTTAGTTTGGATGATGGCTCTTGGATGTTGAGTGCATTTAGGGATAAATATATTAGGAATGCTTATGACGTTAGGGGTGTATCAGTTGGCGAAATGAATATACCTATACTTTTGGATCAGTGGTGGGTTACGACCAGTACGCCCCGGTATGGGCGTGCCAGTGCCTGCCGGGAGTACCAGGTACTGTTCCGGTACGTGCTCCAGAGGGCCCACCTGCCCACCAGCACTCCTTACTGCTATTTGAAGTTTTTTGGGCTTCCGCGCACACGCACAGAGCATACACCGCCTGTGCGACGCCAGCTAGAGCGTTGCGGAGCATTGCGGGCAGTAAGTACGCATGTGCATACTTACATGTGTGTGCATACGACACGCGACGCTCCACCAAGCAGCTGAAGTGTCGCAGAGGCGTTGTGGAGCATCGTGGGCAGTAAATATGCATGCACGTACTTGCATGTGTGTGAGCGCGCTGCGCGCGTTCATGTGGTGGACGCCCAGCCCCGTTGGACCGTACCGGTTGAAACGGAATCCAGAACCCACCACCACTTTGGATGCAGATGATGCTGTGATGTTGACCAAAAAAAACCTAAACTGTATCAAATGTTACATAGATTGTATCATCTGAAGATAGCTTGATAGGTCTGATAGAGAAAACAAGCAAGTGAACTAGCAAGTTATAAATTAATGGTGAAAGATTACACATGAAGATGAATTGCATAAATCAGTAGGTCATTAAAAATGGGGGATTGGATGGAAAAGTTTGAAAATGTCGCAGGCTTTTAAAAAGATAGTGTGTGATCTGTTTGGGAGGGGGGAGGATACTAGGGTGTTGGCCTAGAAACTAGGAGACGGTGAGTTCTAGTTCTGCTTTAGACTGAAAGCCAGCTGGATGTCTTTGGTGCAGTCACTCTCTCTCTCAGACTATAGAGTTGTTGTTGTGGAGAAAATAGGAGGAGGAAGGAATATTAGATAGGTTTGTATCTTGAGTTATTTATAAAGAATAATAAAAGTGAGATAAAAATCTAAGAAATAAAAAATAATTAATGAATGAATAAATAAAATGGCTGTGTACAAGATCAGGATCCTGGTCATTTTGTTATACACAAGTGCTGTAAGAGTTGGCTTCTCATATCTTCTTTAGAAAAAATTAAACATACTTTGAATTTAACTATTCTATTCTTTTTCTGCTTATGAAGATTTCATGAGGATTGACCTATTTGTGATGAAATTTAATTAGCCTACATGTTTATGTCCTTTATACCTCTTAAATCCCTATATAATGTTCTGTCTTTGTTGTAAATGTTTAATTTAACATTCAATTTTAGTCTTAGATTTCATTATTGCACTGATTTATGTTTTTAAGAATTCAAGGAATATAAAGAAATATACTGACATCTATGGGATATATAGAAAATTGCAGGCAAATCATGTTTTAGAAACAATAAGTGCTGGTTCCTGTTTGTTTGTTTATGGCTTAAAAATAACTAACCATCTGGCTAGTCAGGATAACATATTGAGTTACTAAATCTGATTTGGCAAGCGTTTTGCTGAGCTTCAGCTATTCAAATAAGTAACTTCAATTATTAAGAGTGTGCAATAGTGAATAACAAATGCTATCACAGACGTTTGGCAGCTCAATCACTGTAATAATCTGTCTGACACAAATAAAAATAACATTATTTTAATTTAATCTTTAATGATGGGAGGTTTCTAGATAAATATATGCTTACTGTACAAGCATATGATGAGTGTATCAGTCACCTGCTGGATCTGTCTACAGTTGATCTTCGGTACAGGTAGTTCTTGACTGATGAGCACAACTGGGACTGAAATTTTGGTTGCTAAGATATGCAGTTGCTAAGTGAGTATTTATGTGCCTGGACCCAACTTTAAGACTATTTTTACTATGGTGATTAAGTGAATCCTCCTTCTTCAATTGATTTTGCTTAACGGAAGTCAACTGGGAAGGTAGTGAAAAATTCTGCAACTGTAGTAAATCTGAGCTGGTTGCCAAATGCCCAAATTGCAAACATGTGACTATGGAAGTGGTACACTGGTGCAATAATCATAACTTCAAGGGTGGGTCATAAGTCACTTTTCTGAGGCGATCGTAACTTTGAACCAAAGTTAAATGAACAATTATAAGTCAAGGACTATTGGCATTTCCCAATTTGGACTCCTGCAGATATTTTGGTTTATATACAGTATTTCATAATTCCCATTTCACTAATTGGTGAAATGGTTTATAACGTAACTAAGTCAAATTGGGAAAAGATGATCTAATCTAACTCTACTTATTCTATAATAGCCATTCAGATTTTCATGATAAGCATATGAGCAAGATATACAAGCAATAGTTTTCATTTTTGCTTGTCTCTGAATTCTATATTCTAAAACAAGAAAATATGAATATTACTGGTGGCCTCACCTATTATCCATTGTTTTGTTATGTTTTTAAAATATGAAGATACTCATTGATGCCAATGGGCTAAGAAACAGCAGCCAGAAAAGTCTTTGAATACAATGTAAGTTTCCTTTGATTCTGTTCCTAAGGACAATTTAAGGAATTACTTTCGCTTGCAAATCAGGTGAGGCAGTTTGCAAGTGAATACTGTTATCTGTTGCTGCCCAGCAACTGAAGAAGGATGACAATAGTAGTGTAGGAACAAATGCAAACAGGACAGTTCTCCTGGCCAAAATCAGCAATTTGCTTCTGCAATGAGTTGCCTTTTATGTCCACCTATGCATTACCTCCAAGCATCTAACTTCCTGATGTTTTGATGTTTAAAATGTTGAAGCAGTACCAGAAAGGTAATAATTCCTAAAGCATTATTTGCTTATTTGTGAGAATAGATCAAGTGTACTTTTTGACTTTAATCTGAAACAAGATATTAAAGATGCTAAAGAATTCCAGCTGTGTCAACCATTTCCAGAGTCATCAAATAATAGAATCTAGAACCCCAAAGCTTCTTCCAGAAATACACTCACATTTTAAGTTGCCATTGAAATCTATAATATTACTGGTAGAATAATTAAATTGACATTATTATTGAATAATTATTAATTAAATAATTAAAGCCAGACAGCGGATTTTCTTGCTTTTGATAGAAATAGAATTGCTAGGGCAGATCTATAGAATATTGTGGCTAATTTTATGTCATCTAGCTCATATATCAGCATTTTGTAAATAAAATGTTACTTTTTAAATGATGTTCCTTGACAAATCTTCATGTTCTGGAACGAATTCCCCGCAGGGATTCGGACCCTCACCTCTCTCGAGGCCTTCCGAAAAGCCGTCAAAACCTGGCTTTGCCGGCAGGCCTGGGGTTGATGAGTTCCCTCCNGAGAGAGAGAGAGAGAGAGAGAGAGAGAGAGAGAGAGAGAGAGAGAGAGAGAGAGAGAAGCAGGGAGGGCTGCTGTGGGTTCACATGGATTAGGGAGAACCTCTAGCTAAGAATATGCCCATTTCAGAGAACCTTCAAATCTGACCTCTGGCTGGTCCTGTGCACCCTGCCCCGGCCCACCCACCCCACTGCCTAACCCTAACCCTAACCCTTCCCAGGAGTCCCCACATGGCTCGTTTGGGATGCCAGGTAAATACAGGGCTGTGCGGATGCTCAGGAAGGGAGAAAAATGGGCCTCCTGGAAGTTCCAGAAGGCCAGAAATGGGCCCATTTCCAGCCCCTGGAGGGTCTCTGGAGCCCAGGAGATGACGTTTTTGCCCTCCCGGAGGCTCGAAGAGAGCTTCCGGAGCCTGGGGAAGGCAACCCTCCCCCCCACACACACACACCATGGTGCAGGAGGCTGGCTAGGTCATGCCCCCACCCACCCAGCAACTGGGCAGAGAACTCGTTGCTAAAATTTTTGAAGTCCACCCTTGGAGAGAAGCACTGGTCCAGAGTCACTCACTGGATTTGTGCCTAAACCAGGACTAGAACTCCCCGTGTCCCAGCTTCTCATCCAGCATCTTTAACCATTATTCCAATTGGGTCTCTACATACTGAGTGATCTCCAGTAGCTCTTTACTTGTTCTCTTCTTTTGAACCTTTATCTCTCCCTTCTTTTGTGGTCCGAGGTCTCTTTATTTTTTCTTTGTCCCACCTCAAGCTCTTCCTTCTGTCTCTCAAGGTCATTCTCCCATGCCATTATGCCGCCTCTCTCTCTCTTTTAAACCCCACAGTTCCAGCTCGGATCGTGAACATTTCCGCAGCTGTGACGGTGAACGAAGGAAGCAATGTGAATTTGCTCTGCCTGGCAGTGGGGAAACCGGAACCGACGGTAATTTGGCGACAGCTGAAAGGTGAGGAAAACTGGAGGAGGTGCTGCCCCCCCAACCCCCAACCCCCCATTGCAAGCCACTAATTGCCAGCATGAGTGAGAATGGATGTTCACACCACATGCTAAACATGATTAAATATAAACGAACGCATGTTCAGAGTTTGCAAGGTATCCTGAGTCATCCACGGATCAAATGGCCTGGGTCCATCGAACCACTAAGCCCCAATATCGAACCAAGATTAAAATAGACCAAGTTTAGCATTTGGATGACATCAACGGCTCATTTTAAACTCTCCAGATTGAGCTTGTCTAGACACAGCTTGGGTGCCGACACAGAGGTGATGTCTGCCGGGTCCCAAGGCATCTTTTAAGCAGATGGAATTTTAGTGCAGAAATCTGCCTTTTTAAATTTTTCATCTTTTTCCCTCCCCCTGATCTCATCCCTTATTCCCCCATTTAAATAAATCAATGGGATTCCTTGTTTTTTTTTTTAAGGCTGCAAAAAATCCATTTGCAAAGCTGTGGGCAATATGTATGAAATCCCAGATATTTGTGGAGGTGGGGGGGAGAGGAAAAAGTAGTGAGCTGGACTGAACAGACAATATTGATGGGGGGAATGAGATTTTACACGTCACGTAGATCAAACCCTCATCCTGGACCCCATAACGAGCAGGAGACAATGCCCTTTTGTTTATCTCTTGGCCCGGTTTGTTCCTGCCACGCACAAAAAGCCGCCTTCCCTTCGTGCGGAATTTTGCTTCATTCATAAAAGGAGCACAGCTGCAGCAAAGGCGACGCTGCCGAAGATTTGAATTGGAGTTTTGACATTTTGCATGATATGTTGTGAATGGAAAGGAACAAGGCGAGGTAGCGAGTGATGACATCCTAATAGGAACACTGCATTTCTGACTCACCAGAAGATGGAGCCTTATTGGAGAGCTTCCTTTCCTACTTCCCTTCCTGCACTGTGTCAGAGGGTTCATTGCACACACCAACAATTTAATCTATAGGTAAAGATTCCCTTTGCACATATGTGCTAGTCGTTCTTGACTCTAGGGGGCGCTGCTCATCTCCATTTCAAAGCCGAAGAGCCAGCGCTGTCCGAAGACGTCTCCGTGGTCATGTGGCCGGCATGACTCAACACTGAAGGCGCACGGAACGCTGTTACCTTCCCACCAAAGGGGGTCCCTATTTTTCTACTTGCATTTTTACATGCTTTCGAACTGCTAGGTTGGCAGAAGCTGGGAC